TATCTATAAAAAATAACGGATAAACAGAAAATATATATATATATATATATATATATATATATGTGTGTGTGTGTGTGTGTGTGTGTGTGTGTGTGTGTGTGTGTGTGGATGCATAATATCATCCGAAAGAAAAGTGAAGATGATGGAGAATTTTCCATCATCTTTATACATCACACACGCGTGTGCATGCGGACAAACACATAGATACATACATACGTGTATATATACTCGAGAGCTAGAACTCCGATAAACTTCAGAGACCGATGCAATTTGTGCATTATAGAAAAAATCTTAATAATAAAGCATAAGGATTCGGACATATTACTGAACAAACATAATGAGTTGATTTGTAAATGTAGACATAAAAACCACCTCATTTTAACGAAGTATGTTTAGAAACAACTATATAAAAAGGGAAAATATCAATTTTGTTTTTGAAATGAATGTATGAATACATGGATACTATACTTGTTAGTATGTACGTAGATGAACTTAGACATTTATATGTGAATTTATTTATGTATATATATATATGTATGAACATTATGGACAAGGGTGCTTATATGTATATATGTACTTTTTTAATTGTGGGCACATGTGTATGGAGGTATGTGTGTATATGTATAGGTATATATATATACATATGTGTGCGTATAAATATATAAGTATGGGGTATGTTTAGGTACTAACGTTATTTTTGTGCTAGGTATCGTTATTATATATATATATATATATATATATATATATATATATATATATATATATATATATATATATATATATATCTGTGTGTGTGTGTGTGTATTTTACATATGTGTGGATGTATGTGTACGGGTATGTATTTGTGCATGTGTGTAGATATATGTGTATATGTACATTGTATGTATATGTACAGGTATATATGTGTATACATGTATTTATATATGTGTAGTATTTTGAATATTAAATTACTTGTAATCTGTATATGTATATAGATGTATATACCTTAGAATTAATATTTGTAATATATGTGTGAATAGATGTATAACATTGTAATATGAATACATATGAATGTGTGGATAGTTATGGGTAGAATTCTTTTCATATGCTTTTTTATGTATATAATCATATGTGTATATGTATTTATGTATGTATGTGTGTGTATGTGTATATATGGTTGTATATGTATATAGGGTGTGTATGTGTATATGAGTATACCTATATATATATATATATATATATATATATATATATATATATATATATGTGTGTGTGTGTATACGTGTATGGAATATTTTTAAATGGAAGTACTTGGGTCATTCTAATCGTATTTTAAAATTACTCTTTTTAATATTTAGTATCACTTTCTCTTTTAATGTTCTATAATTAGAATTTTGAGAGTGTATTTTTATCTTCTTAAGGGAGTTTCATTTTAAAATTGATAATTTAAATTTAAATATACCACTCTTTAACTATTAATAGTAATAATAATATTAACGAAATTCCTTTAATAATGAGGTACTTCAGAAGGCACCTAAAGTTAAACTTTAACTATAAAATCAAACTAAAATCTAAATAAATTTCAAATGTTTAAATATAGGTAATGATTGAGAAATGTATGTGTGTATATGTAATTTATGTATGAAGATGGATGAACCTTTGTGTATATCGTTACACGTGTGTCTATGTGTGTATTTGCACATGTAAATAAACGTATGTATATATAGATTTGCATGAAAATGTTTGTGAGATGCATATAAAAAGAAAACAAAATCTTTAATATTACCCTCAAATATTATTAAATAATGAAACCTAAACCTTAATTAAGTTTACCCATATAATAATAAAGAAAAATTGCATTCATAAATTAGATTAAAAGTAAAACTAATATAGATGTTATTGTTACCGAAAAATTTTTTACAATATTATGGAAGTACAATTGGTCGGGTAAATAAACTATTATAATTTTAAATATTTCTTTAATATGTTCTCGATAAATGTGCTAATAAAAATAGTAGTTAACTTATATTAAGTCCCTAAACTATTTACTTAAAAAATTAAATGTTTAAATTGATAACATTCATCATTTTTTAGATATCTAAATTTCTATCAAGCATTGAAATCTATCTTTTACATAATTTTGTTAAAACAAAATTACAGCCTCTTTCGATTCACTTCCCTCTCCCCCTCTCTCTTTGCAGTAACACTCATTTAGATATGTCTGTATTACTGTCGTCTGTCTCCTCTCTCTTTTCCATTTTTCCTTTTCTTTTCTCCCCACTCCCCTCTCATTGCTATATATCATTTTTGTTAAGTTAACCATCTAAATAGGTCAAGGTTCGGTCACTTCTCCTACCTCAATATAAAACATGCTTAAGAGAGATATGAAATTAACCCCTCCCTATACTCTACCTTGTCTCTTTAACTACAACTCACCCCCCCCTTTTAAATTACAAAAATTACACTATCCACCATTTCTAATCGCATTTTTCCTTTCATTTCGTTGTTGGAATTGTTACCTGATGATCCAGAGTCCTTTAAAAAGGATTTTGGTGAAATAAATTATTGTAATGGTACCTTTAAAGTGGTCTGTTTTTCATTATATATATATATATATATATATATATATATATATATATATATATATATATATATATATATATAAAGGTATCTGAAAGCTCATTAGACCATATCCAGATCCAGAGCCTTCCCACTCATTGGAGGAACCCCACCCCGATTGACCTAGTCTTCAGGGGTGTAGCCGTACTGACCACACTTGGCTAATTGCGGATTATAGGTGTTATTTTTTTTAAATTCAGAGTTACTCAGTTGTCACCCAAGTCTATAGGACGCAGTCGTCAATCTGATGAACTATACAATACTTCTCTGATCCTCTCTATATAATTATATGTATGCAAATATATGGATATAGATCCGACAGTATGAAGAAAAATATACAGAAAAAACAAACAAAAATCCTTATATACAATTATGCTGTTTTAATGTTAATATGTCAACGTCGGAAGTTTCGGTCTAATAAACCATCTTCAGGACATATTCATAAAATATAATTAACATTATCAATTCAACATGACAAAGACGATGTACATAAGATCAAGACTTATCCAACAGATAACTGAAAGTTTTATAAGATCAGCGCTCCATTTAAAACATGGTCACGTTGTCATCACGTGGACGACGCTGTGAAAACGTATTCCTAAAATTTGAGTATTTTGAATGAAAAATGAAAAGAATTCTATTTTGATCTAAATACTCAAATCGAGTTTGTTGTTTTCTCTCTCCATAGTGAACTGTATCGATGATCTTATTGAGTTCACAACATAGTCCAGTAGTAGCTGGACTTCTTCCTGGTGTAACCAGAGTATGAAGGTGTCGTCTACATATCTCAGCCATAGAGTTGGATTTAGTGATGTAGTTTCTAATACCATTTCCTCAAAGTATTCCATATATAGGTTTGCCATTACTGATGATGAAGGCGAGACCTTCGCTAAGCCCTCATCCTGTCGATATATGTCTGATCCTATTCCAAAATGTGTTGTTTGCGCACAAAAAGGCAGCATCTCCATTAGGTTATCTATTGGCATACCGGTCCGTTCTCCTAGGGATGAGTCCCAGGCCAGTCTGTCCCTGACTATCGAGAGTATCTCTTCCGTGGGTACCTTGGTGAACAAACTCACCACGTCCAGATTCACCATCTGGTTAGATTCGGTGGAGGTATCTTTAATTATTTCCACGAAATAGGTGGAGTTCCGGACATGCGATTGTGACTTTCCTATTAATGGGTCGATTATATCTACTAGGAAGCGACTTAGAGTGTGTCACACTGAGTCTTAGCAGCTAACAATCGGCCTGAGCGGAATACCTGAGAACGTATATGTGAGGTAGCGTGTAACGCTGTGACAACAGCCTGTATGTCTTAGGTGCAAAGTGGCTCTTGCTCTTAATTAGGATCTGTGAACAATCTACCCCGGTGGATGAAATAAAGGGTTTGTTTCGAAATTCCAACCACCTGAAGAAGGCTGGAGCGTACAACGGCCGAAACGTTGTGAATATGGCAATGAAGGTGTCCGAATAATGTAAATAATATAAATAATCATAATACCTCATCTCAGAAATATAGACAGCAATAGTTTATGTTATAAATATGAAAATTATATGTAATTATAAATTATATTTCTATTAAATTAATATTTTCTATTAATTCTCTATTTATGCTATTAAAAATTTCTATCAAATTAAAATTATATGTCAATTAATTTGTAAATTATATGTAAACTTTCTAAATATGTGAATTATTTCATGGCTATAAATTCAAATGCAATATTGTATGCGTTACAAAAACTGACAGTCATCGGTTGTTCAGGTCTTATGATAAGTTTTTCCGTTTTTAAAATAATAGTAGAAAATATAGTTCCATTTTTACGTTGTCGTGTTGAAAAGGAAGAAACAAAATAAAAGAACCTAAAAAATCACTTGCTAAAAATCGATACAGGTGTAGAAGAGATAAAAGCTACTAATTTGAATGTCGCGCTTTTAAATAAGTTTTCATACAATATTTATATTATTAACTTAATATTATTTATGAATAAAAATGACAATAGGAAAACTGGTAATTGCTGACCCGTTTCGTCCAATGTGGACTTTCTGTGTGTAAGTTTTTGTTTTCCATGTCGACAAATATGAAAATTTCTCTGATTTAACCAGTAGAGAAGACAATATTTATGAATAAAATGACAATAGGAAAACTGGTAATTGCTTGCTGACGCGTTTCATCCAATGTGGACTTTTTGTGTGTAAGTTTTTGTTTTCCATGTCGATAAATATGAAAATTTCTCTGATTTAACCAGAAGAGAAGACAATATTTATGAATAAAAATGACAATATTATTTCCATTAAAAATATTTTTCTTCCCAACTATCATATTGAACGTATACTATATTGGATTTCATTCTTTTTTTAAAAATAGTTTTACTAATTTAATTTTTTTCTTTTGCTTTTAGTTTGCGATATTTGGCCAGCCGACATTGTGTTTCTGCTTGATGATTCCACAAGTATCTGGGACAATGATTATCAAAAACAAATGGAGTTTTTGTCCAGCTTCGTCAAAGACATTACCATTGGACCGAAAAAATCTCGTATTAGCGTCGTCACATTCAGTTCTCGCCCAAAGAACCAGTTTTGGCTTCGGGATCATCAAAGCAAAAACGAAGTTTTGAGTGCCATCAAGAATATCAACCGGATGTACGGTGACACTTACACTTCTGATGGACTTCGCATGATCCGAGAAAACAGCTTTTTGCCACGTCATGGTGGAAGAATGAAAGCATCACGCATTGTGATCGTCGTAACGGACGGCAAGTCAACCATTCCGACCGAGACCATAAATCAGGCGAAGAAACTACACAACGCCAAAGCTACGGTATTTGCTATTGGTGTCGGACGAAGGGTTGACCCTGAAGAACTAAACGCTATTGCCAGCAGCCCCAAATACGTGTTTACTGTAGATAACTACAGCGCCCTAGCCACGATTAAGAAGAAACTCTCTCAAAAGGTGTGCACGCTACACGTAACGAACGTGAGCGACTGGTAAAACAACGCATGCGCACAACTACTATTGCCAACTTCACTGCCATCCTTTTCAGCATCAGCATCAAATGGCGTTTAATTTAACAACTGTAGTAAATAAGAATCAACGAAAATAATGAACTTGTAAATTAGAAAATTTAGGTTTATTAGAGACTACACACACACACACACACACACATACACGCATATATACATTCCTTTCCTTGCGTATCCCAGAGTGCTGTATTTGAAATTCTTTTCAAAGAGCTTTTTGTTTAATTTGCTCATTAACAGCGCCGTTTCACGCTTACCGATTTTTCAAAATGCGTAACTGTTTATTCATAACGCTACGGAGATTTATTGTTCCTATAACATGTTTCAAAATGAAGCAACAGGGAAGGAATTTAAAGAGAGACGTAAAAACCATTTGCTATCATTCAAATGATAGAACATTCTAAAATAACACCATGTTGCCAAAATATACATGGGAACTAAAGATGAAACAGAACAAATAGTTAGTAGAATGATTTATAATTTTAAAAATAAGATAACGAGAAACAGATACAGAAAATTCAGTCTATGAATAGAAGAGAAACTAAAAAAGAATAATAAAATGTTATTAATAAACAGTCACCCATTTTGACAAACCGCTAAGCGTGAAACAGCACTGTCTATGATTAAATAAAATAAAAATCTCATATATATATATATATATATATATATATATATATATAGGCATTTGGAAGATTTTCATCATGAGTATAGTTGCGATCAAATTTTGATGACCAGGACGTAAGAAAGACAAACTTAGATGTAGATATTGATTGGGTAGACAGATGCTGGTGAGGACAGGGATATAAAATGTCAAATTGATCTTCAAGAAACAAATGATTCGGTCTAAATTAATTATTGATACTCCGTGTGAAATATCGATCATCACCTCATCGCTACGACAAATTACTAATTTATAAATCGATAACCACACCTGTCATAAACAAACACAAAAAAAAACAATGTAAATTTTAAATTATGCGAATCAAATTCTATACATCTCGATTGTATCAACAGAAGGTAGGTTCTATAAATAGAAGTTTTATCCATAGAATATTTCTATTGCTGGAACATTTGTATCTGTCAAATCCTTTTAACAGAATCGTCTCTTTTTTTTTTGTTGATACTAGCCAATTAGTATTACTCGGATTCTGTGTTTTATGTTTTAATTAATTCAGAGACAAATTAGCAAGTATATTTCATTGTTTTTAAATTTTAACGGAAGAAACAATTGGTCCGGAAAACCTTTTCATACAAAAGCAAATTCAGGTGAATGCCAATCATTTCATTGAGACGAATGTGAACTGCACATTATCTTAGATTCTTTATGGGGTTTTACGAAGCTTAAGGTACTTTGATACAGGATCAAAACAGGAGAGCTATGTGTCAGGATCAAACTCATAACACTAGTAAATGAACTAAGAGGTTAACCATTGCGTGATTACCGGAAATTAAAAATTTACATCTACACGGTATTTACTTATCTGGCATTTCACCACTTACATATATATATATATATATATATATATATATATATATATATTGACTGAATTACATATGCAGCTTTATTGTACATATATTTATAATTTCTGTCGGCATACGATGCAGGCTACAGTGACAATGCCAAGGTCGAATTGCTTATTCATCATTATTAAAGGATTTGAAGGCTGCTGCTAACGACTCCAGAAATGGATTTAAGTTCAACATCTGATCGTAAAGTTACACCTCTCTGCATCCTGTATCATAGCCACACATGCTTACGACTCAACCTTACAAAAGAAGGATAGATTTTTAAGTTTTCCGCAAAATCTAATCTTTCGGAATTAAACGTCTCAGAATCAACTTATTTGTATGAAACTAAAAAAAAAATAATAACTAAAAATGTACAATATCGAAATAATATATGACTGAGGCAATTCTAGATTTATTTGCAATATAACTAAAATAATTGTATTATATTTGACAGAAGTCTTCCAGTATAAAATTCTTTTTTTAAAACTAGATTATCGTTAAAATGTTGGACAAAATATCAGTGTATATTTTCACTTACCCACTGAGATATTTGATACATTTTTTCCTTTCTTTTTAAAAATTTCACTGTACTTACGACCCCAAATCTTATCTTTTAGATACATCAAAATCATTTATTATATGTGTAGATATCTTAACTTTTCTACTTGACCTTTTTATGTTGTACTTGAAAATGTATACTAGTGTTGATAAAATTTAACCAAAAACTTTGTCAAAAGTTACGTTCAACTACATCCATAGTTAGCGATAAAAGTCATTATTAACTAGAACTCTTTGATTTTGATTTCCTGGTCGGGAGTTAGAATTTATCCCCTGATGTTTTGTATTTGATATATATATATATATATATATATATATATATATTGAGTCTTCGAAGACATATATCAGATAAATACATTCATTAAAAAATATTCACTCATAAATAATCATCATTAAGAAAACAATGAAAGAACATTTTGGAAACAGGAATATTATCTTTATTTGATAAAATATATATCATATATATGATATATATGATATATATGATATAAATATATATCATTCTCAAGGCTGCAAGGTTGACTTTTCACCTAAAAGTTAGGTAAGTTAGGCTCATTACCAAACGTTTAATTAAATCAAACTCGAATTATCAGGCAGGAATTTACAAAACATGCAATATTTTCGAACTATAAATGATTATATAACAATGTAATTGGGCATAGCGTTCACCATTTCTCTTTTGACTGTTTTTTTCGTTTTGATCTTTCTAATTTCATTGCGAAAAAGGAAACAAAAATGCGTGATATCTAAATAGGCTAGTTAACTTGCATCATGTTGAGAAGTACAACATAAAGTTATGTTGACTGTTACTCGAATTCATTTAGTCACGAGTTCTTTCATCAACATCCAGGTTCGAGTCCGGAGGAAATCAGCTAACCTTTCTTCTGTGATTATTATTATTATTATCAGTTTCATGCTTTAAAATTCGCCCCCTCCCAATCAAACAAAACCCTCTAACGTCTACATAATGACTTCTCATCATTTGCCATTCATCAATACTTCTCAGGCCAGACTTACTATTAGTTAACTGGTGACTTAGGCCAAAATTATGTATGATCAAATAACTTCCCCCAGGTATATTTACCCGGCCTCCCCACCAAGGCTTGATATGACACAAGCTCATTTTAACGTTGGGAGCTCCATGGGTGATTATCTAAGCGTAGCTTATATGTGGCAGACTTACGAGAGAACCAGCGATGATTGAACTCACTACTCAGTCGTAATTATTCGATACAAGCTTGTTAACCATTACACCACGTCGAGGTGTCCCATATGCATATCTATGGGTATTTTTCAGCGCGTCCACGTCGCTAACGAATGTGATACAAAGTCGAGATTTTGAGAGGGTTTAACGGCAATATCGTAGAAAAATTTACCCCTTAGCACTTCTTTTTCTGGGCACGACCCAGGCACCATGCGATAAACACATCCTTCTCCCGAAGTCCTATCGGGTGGGGAAGGCACTCCTGGAGCTTAGGCTTGATATTTTTTAAACTTACCCAGCATGTACCATTGTTAAATATTTTCATTTAGTCAGGATATTTTCATTTGAAATGTCACCATGGAAGGTTCTGTGATCATGCATAACCGCCGATTTTAAAAATACTGTTTTAACTGTGAGCCTGTCTCCAAAATATATGAATCCAATTATTTATTTCTTTGATATTTAAATCAAATAGTATATCGAAGATGCTATACAAATCGCAAGCCAAATTCCAGTTTTTTTTATTAATACTAGTCAGTGCATTTCAATTGAGCAGCCGATAATAAACCCGAAGGAAAAAAATCTATCAATTATCTCCCCTTTTTTATATTTTTATTTTAAAAAGAAGAAACGTAACTTCTTTTATGGCTTTAATTTATTCAATTATTTCAAAGACAACGGAATTTCATGACAATGGTAAATGTCAACATCTGGTGTTAAGATGATTAGTGCTGTGAAAAACATGGTTATTTTATTGATCTCAGGAACGGAATGGGTTAAAATATAAGACTATCTATCTATCTATCTATCTATCTATCTATCTATCTATCTATCTATTTGTGTATTATTTACATTAGAAATCTACTGTTATGACTGCATGTTGTCTTAAGCAAAGAATTACCCGTTAGTTCAATCTATTCAAGTTTTTGATTCAAGGATTAAATAGTAACTTTGAATTTTAACGAAAATTGTTATTAACAATTGTTTTTTTTTCTCCTCATTTTTTCTTATTTCACACGTGAGTTGCGGTGAAAGACACAAGGCAGATTATAACATAGGAATTTATCTGTTAATTTTTCCATATCATATCTTATTCGACCTCACTAGTAATTTGGAACCAAATCTTTTCCACGTAGGCATAACAGACTTCATTAGTGAACACACACACGAACATACACGCTCACAAGAAGTAGTAGTCATTTTAATTGTTTAAAAGTTCTTTGATTTAGTTTTTATAGTTTTTGACACGATTTTAGAGTAAAACTATGAGAAAATGGAAAAAGGTTTTCGTGCGACGCATTTCATCGGTCGAAAGTCATATTTACGTTAATAAATCATAAAGAAGTTGAGAATTTAAAATTTAATTCTTTTTAAATATACCTTTTTGGTATATAGTTTAATCAATTTCATTTTAAAATATTTAATTTTCAAATTTTCAGCGTTCCCTTCCATCTGTACGCATCTTTAGTCTGATGAAGTTCTAAAGAATGAAACGTGTCACACAAAGACTTTCTCCAATTTGCCATAGTTTTTCTTCTAAAACTGTTCTTGTAGTATAAAAATCTATATATTGTTTTCCACACACACACATACATACATACACGCACACACACACACATACACACATATTTATATATATAAAAGAGGACATTGAGGTCAACACCCAGAGGTAACAGTCTGTTTCATGCTAAACGTAATCGTCAAGCCCGACGATTGCGTTTAGCATGAAATAGACTGTCGCCTTTAGGTATTGACTTCAATGTCGACCTTATATTTACTTTACACCCCATCTCTGATAATGAGCACTTTAACCCATAAATACACCATACCTGAAAAGTATATATTTTGCCATATATATATATATATATATATATATATATATATATATATATATATATATATATATATATATATATATATGCATTGGAACTTAGGTAGACATATTCGCATAAATGTATATACACTCATACACACTTTCATATCGTACACACGCACAAATATAGTTGCATACATTGTACATATGTATATACTGTATATATTCTTTTTGTCAGGAAAAATCTCTTTATATAAGTGCAGTTGATTTTTATTGTTTAATGTCAAAATCGTTCAGTTATATATCCATGTTTGTTTCTCTGTGTTTCAACGTCGGGTACAGCATATCTTGACGCCAATCACATTCCGTGTCTTCGTCTTCATAAAAGGACACGAAAAAGAAAGAAAGAAAAAATAATAATAAAAAAGATGAAAAAAAAACAAAACAATATCTTCCAAAAAATTTGTCCCTTTACTTTTTATTCTTTCTCCTCTCTCTCTTTATTGCTCGTATATTTTTTCATCATCAATCTTATTTTATATACGTTTCTGCGCACATATCTCTAACGCGTATTATCTACACACACACACACACACACACACACACACACACACACACACACACACACACACACACACATATATATATATATATATATATATAAACAAACCTTTCAAATATAAATCTAACAGTACGGTGACCGAATCTTTGTCTCTTGTCTACGTATTGAACTGAAAAAAGAAATTCTTTTTGTGATTAGACATGAAAAAGTGAAACTTGTGATTTGAAAGAAAAGAAATATGAAACGACACTAACAAATTTAAGGTTAAAAAAAGAATTTTAAAACTATTTTTCTTAACTCAGTCTTCCACAGTATTACTAAACCTGCGAAACGCCGGTAGGGACAAAAAGAATTAAAAGATAAAAAAAAACTAAATGTATTTTTTTTTTCTGTCATTGGGTACATGCGTTTAAAAAAACATACACCGAGACAAATACGCCGAAACAAATATACAGAACATACGTAAATGCACTCAGAAAGACATGCTTGCATGTCTATGGGGCCAGTTGCCAATGAAGAATACATCCAACTTTGGCCACTGACGTCAGTTGGGCAAATTCTCAAAAGCTGTAAGGAAAACTGTAACCACAAAGCCGCTCTTCAGTGTTTTTTGTTTTAGCCGTTTTAAAAGTGCCATTTTTTTTTCATAAACTTTTTTTTAATGATGAATTTCAATTTAAACAACATTTGATACCGAACTGCTTTGTTGCATTGTGCGAAAGGATTATTCAGGTATATTCTTGACTAATCAAATTTAACAAATAATTCAACCGAAGGAAAAAATATATTAAAATGAATCCATTTTGATTTTGAATAAATATGTGCAATATTAAACTACATAACAGCACAAACCTTGCATTATAATAATACACGCACACATACACATATGCAAACACACCCACCCAATTTATATATATATATATATATATATATATATATATATATGAACTAAAAATATGGATTAAATCCGCTTAAAAAGATTACATAAGGAACAAGTAGGAAAATGGTTCCGAATTATACATGTTTTTCGATTTATTTTATTTTTATCAGAAATGTTTTGAAATGAGACCAGGTGGAAATCTTTCGATCCACGTGATATTTGCCTGACCAATGAAAATAAACAACATCAAATTCAAAATATCGAAACTTCTTTGCGTTCCCCCGTTCCCGACAAAACAAACAAACAAAAAAAAACAAAAAAAACAAACCAAAACAAAAAAAAAAAAAACTTTTGCAGAAGCTGCATTAAATAGCGAAACATCAAATTCATAAATATTTTCCTACTTGCTATTTATTTAATAAGAAACACATACACACAAATCCAAGCAGACCATCAAATACGCCTTTATTTCCCCCAAGATATGCATTCCACAGATCTGTTCTTACGCAACAATTAAAAGATTGCATCTGTACTTTGAAATGCACACACACAACTTTTAGTGTTCACAAAAATGTAGAGTTTTATGTGCAGACACATTCACACATGAACGCATGCAAACAGGCGTTTCTTTTCTTTTTTTTTTCAAAATAAAATTCAAATATATTTACATCGATAAATTTCCTTTTCGGTATAAAAAGTTGTTTTTAATCAAACGTAATTTTAATTTTTTTTAAAAAACATCTCCATGTAAATGTTCATATTTTTTATCGTGTGACCGACTTCAGTCATTGTTTGAAATTTATCTTCTCAATTATCAATCAACACCCTGAATAACATTTTCAGAAATTTTGCATAACCCATTAGTTCAATTGTGTGCTTGTAAAATCTGTCTTGTTTCAATATTCTCAGTGTAATCAAAATAGTTATACCGTCAAAAATATGAATCGAACGGAATCAATTCAATTAATTAAAATTTGATTTTTTTAAATCATTACACTCCAAGAAAGGCGATAATGCCACTAAGAGGCAAGGGGGTCTATTGGGAGTGAAAGAGAAAAATTTAGCAGAAAGAACCGGAAACTAAAATTCTAGAAGGAAACATGGGATACTCTTCTACTCGTATTTAAAACACCAGGGAGGAGTGTGAACCGGACGATAGGCGATCTTATTTAGTTCTATTGGTTTGTCTGCCTAGATTTTTTTTTAATATACCGAATACGGTTAACCTGTTGTATACTTGTAAAATCTGCAATATCTTTGTATTATATCTACTTACTAGCACATCTATAGACCTACTTCAACTCACAATTACGCAAAAGACAACAACATGCTTAGAGTCACGCACACGGTGTTATCATAATTTTGAAGGATTTTTCAAATACAATTTAACGAAAATTTTCCAACCAAATTCGGAGAACATTAGTCTTCTGTTTAGTTATTTATATTTTTAATGACTTTGATAATAAAATACAAATGAAAAAGCCTAAAAATGTCTTGTATTTTTTTGATTTTGTGTTTATGTGTTTTGTTGCATTTGAAATCTAAGCTACACAATAAATAAGTAAACAAAAGCAACCTCCACTCCTAGTCAAAGAAAAAAAATTAAATCTAAAAAGATTTTCGACCGAAAAAAATATTTAGAAAAAAATTAAGCATATTTTTTTCGGGACAATTGTTACTGAATGTGAACCCAGAGCCAAAATTGGTCGGAGTTCCTCGTAGGCAGAGCTAGTGATAGATTGTCTTAGTCTGGGTTTTGAATATAAATCCAAAACCGCGCGAATTCAGCTGAGGTTCCCAAGAATTCTGAAGCGTCGATATGGCTCCCACACCCAGGTTTGCGACCGGTTAATAACACCCTCGGAGGGCCGCTGAGCAAACGTGCGTCATGTCTTCCTGTCACGTCAGTCCTCCTACTGCTTCTTAGAATCCAAGCTGCCACTCTTAATAAAACGAATAACAAAAAAAAAAAAAAAAGAATTTGTCCTTCTCATTGATACTATTTCATATAGTAGTGTGGGCACCCAGAGACGACAAAGATTCTAAAACACAATTCTAAAAATATCGAAAATCTCGGCAAAGTTCGTCGATAAATATATATGATTTTTAATCATTTCATCCCAAGCATGGCGATAATGCCACTAAGACGCAAGGACTTACTCGGAATGAAAGAGAACGAAAAGACATTACAGAAGAGAAAGAAATGTACAGGATTCAGGAAGACAGAAGATGGCGATTGGCGTTACATTTAAATTTTTGAAGATTGTAAGTGACAGGAAAGCAAGAAACCCCAAAAGAATTCCACTTGCAAGAAGTACGAGAAAAGAAGTTATTAGAATAGAACTTACGGTTTCATTTAGCTTCTTCAACAGTAAAACGGGGAGACCTAGTTGCCAATCTAGTAGTGCGCTTAAAATCCATGCGGCTGAAGATCCAAGGAAAGAAGTTGCCATGAAAATACTTATAGAAAGACAGAAGGAAGCCACATCATGGCGATGGAAAAGTGACTGAAGATGCCAAGTCAGGACCAATTATATAACAAAGCTTGCTTTGGATTTTGCTAAAACATATGTAGATTTATAAATG